CAAGAATTACACCCGGGAAACAATGAAATCGTAAATGATAGTTATATTTACCACTCGTGTTTAAGGTATTCTACGTTAACTGCTTCCAGACAGTATCCGGTCTAATTCAAACTCGTGGTTGTTTTTTATTGGATAGTGTTCAAGCGAAATTATTGGACGATATGGTATCGATAGACATCGATGACGTGAAAACGAAGCGGTTGGTAGCGATTTTCGTCCAAAGCACACCGAATAAGCTGTGGATAGAGGAAAGCAAAGGTAAGAAACTTAACGTCGCGGCATTCTTTTTTTTTATTGTTTTCATTTTCTGTAATTTTGGCATCTCATTGGCCTCTCTTAATTTGTTTTTTTTTTGAAGCATTTTCCGCTTTGGGAAGAGATGGGCGCTACTGCTTCACTACTCTATTTGTTGACTTATATTGCCCTTCCCTCTCCTCGTGCCACAGGCAGTGTTCGTTAGTTGTCGTCTATCCATTTTGATTTTGAAGGTTAAAGGACGAATTCACGATGAAAAGCAACCCATTTCAAATTAACCTAGGGATGGTGAGTGGTACACGAAAGAAGGAAGAACCATGAGAAACGGCCCAGAACCCGAGAAATGGACCCCTTCCTTGCCCGTTGATTTGAGCATTGATGCGACTGCTGTGCCCTCTTCAACACTACGCTCTCTCTGCTATCTAATCACTCGCCACGTATAGACCTGCGGCGAGTGATTAGATAGTCGGTGGGCGTACCCGCCAACGCGCCAAGAGTGAGCCATGCTAGATCGCCGAGGTCAAATCTTTCGCTGCCAATTGCGCGTCGGTCGCACCCTCAGGAGGTCCGCCTGTCTCCCAACTAGGCAATTTTCCTCCTTCTTCGACCTTCGTTCTTATCGTGGAATCGTTCTTAAACGACAAAACATTTTTCCATTCGTCCATAGTCTGTTATATTTTTTATTTGTTTTCTTACTTTGGGCGGAAGTGGTGTAGTGGCAAGTGGCACGCTTACCACGCGAGCGGTCCGGGGATCAAATCCTGGGTCGTGAGTCGCCCGGGCCAACCAAGCCTTCCATCCCTCCGGGATTGGTACCAGACTTGTCTGGGAGGATAAAACACTGACTTGTACATCGGCTGGCCCCCGCAAGTCATTGTATAGGCCACATCGCATTCAAACGCCACTACGAATGTACAAATGGAAGTAGAATGCGTGCCGCATCCCAAAAAGGGATTGATCAACGGCAAATGCTTTATCCTTTATCCTTTTTTCTTCCTTTGGAGTAAATACTTGCATTTATTCCATTAGTTCTGGGCGCTCTTGGATGCGCGTTTGGCAAAAGCAGTAAGTTATGGGGCTTTTCGATGTACTTTTCACTTCAAGGCTCTCAAGCTAATGTGCCATTAGCTGATCTTATACAAAAGGGTTGGGTAGTCGTATACGACTCGTTCAGGGGCCAAACTACCGTTCGTTTCAGAGAGACCAAACTACCGTTGGCAGTAGCCCATTACTTTCTTTTTGGTTTGTCATATCACGTTGTTCATGACATTAGTGTTTGAATTATTTTGTATCTGGAATATCTTTTCAGTATTTTGTTCAAATCCATCCAATTCCTCTTACCCCACCTACCAGAGTCGAGGTCCCCTCTTGAACAAAACTTTTACTCATTTGATTAATTGAATGGATCCTCAAGTGCAACTTCATTATCATTTGAATTCATCCATTCGGCGGAAATAGCCCCTCAGTTTCTTTTTCTTTCTCAGCATTCGTAATGCACTCCTTCTTTGGTTAGGGTTTATTAGCTACAATTACCTTCCAATATATTTCATTAGTTAGTGCTAAATGAACTCAATATTAAGATCTTTTGGCGGGAGTTGTGCAACGGGTCAACATTACTGTTGAAGCTGGCTCGATGTTAGACGCGTCGCAAAGGTTGAAAGGCGTTTCCGATCCGCAGATGGATGAAAGTTTCTGGTAAGTTATATTTAAAACTGTTTTTTTATTCCTAACTGATGCAGTAGTTGAAAGTGAAAAGCAAATGTTTTTTGTCTGAGTGATATCATTCTATTTGGCTGTCAAAGACAATGTGCGATATAACTAAGCTAACTACGAGCAGAACTCCAGCGGATAAAATCCAGTGAAACTCAAACAGAAGAGCTAAACTATACAAAGCTGTGAGAGAACTCGAGAAGCTAGGAAGGGGAGAATGGGAGAGTTCAAGAGAAAGACGAAAATTGATCATTCCGTGTATAAAGTTGCATATTTCCTTAAAGGTTTTGAGTATTCTTTCTGAATTTTCAAACGAACTAAGCATTCTCTTTCGCATTTCACGGCTGAAAAATAGAAATACACACGTCTATTCCGGAGAAAGGCATTTCTTTTCGTTTTCACGGCGTTGACGAAATCCTTAGATAGTCGTTACTGACCTGAAAATGTGATCGTACACAAAAGTGACCTGATTTCGTGTCCTCTCTCAGTCAGCCTCATTTTCTTTGATTTCGTTGTTATTTGTTCAAATACTTTGGTAGCTAGCCGGAGTATCGTATGAGATAGTTATTGCTATCATCTTTATCATTGATATTACTTTCCTTGCGTTTCTTTTCCAATTTCTGTTCAGAGTTCTGATGAGACATGGTCATCCAGCGCCACATTGAATATCCCACAGCTTGGACCTGGAAGGAAAGTTCACATTCGAGCTGGCGCTTTGCCTGTTGATGGACTCTGGTCTTACAGCATCACCAGCTGTGCGCAAGGCTAAGGTCGGTGTGCATGGTGTATATATGCATTTTGATCCTGACATGGTTAATTAATGGGGTGCCATGAAAACAGGCAAGTTTTGCTGAATGATAATGTGCATCAGATCAATTTTTAAGTTCCTTACTAATGCTTTATGGGATCTTCCTGCTGTTTCAAACATTTGCCGACTAGTTACTGTAATTGAACTGTAAATTGGCTCGAACATAGGCATGCTACCGCAATTGTTTGTGCTGGCCCTTTTATTTCATACTTCTTACATTCTGCATGGGAATAATGGGAGTAATGAATTCTGAAAATAGATTCGCGGTAAATGCGTACCTATCTTGTGTTTTCAATGTTCGAGGCGCATCTCAAAACTTTCTACATTTTTAAGATCAGCTGCGAATGGTTTGGCAGAGTGTGGCCGCTCGAGTTATCGTTTGTCGCGCTCTTGATTATGACATCGACAACGTCAATGCTGGAAAACAAGTGAGTTTTCTTTATCAAGTGATTATAGGAAAAGTGCAAGTTTCAAAAAGATACAAATGGTTCCCAAAGGAACGGAGGTTTTTTTTTGATGAATTCCAACTATCCATCTCCCCATATCCCAGTAAAATAAAGTAGGGAGCCTATCACCTTCATGTGGATAGCATGATCGAAGCCTAGTGAAATGCTTTACTGGTTATTTTTCCTGCAGCATTCAAGCAATTTTGGTACAAATACTTTTTATGTTACTGCTTTGCAGAACACTGTTTGAGCTGGAAATAGCACGAGCTGCCGGTCATGCTGATCAGTGGACCGTTGTGCTGGAGAATGCCATGATTGAAGCGGTCGATCCGACTGTGACGAAAGAAACACCAAATCAGCTCGGCAAGCTGCTGAACAGGGACCTTGGTGTGAGGCTTCATGTCATCATGGCTTTTTAAAGGAGTCTTCTCTCTCACAACTTATGATTTTCTTTGTTTCAGGAATTAATACCGAATGTCGTCTCAAGTCTTGTCTGGGTGCTGCCCATAACTGGTGAATTGCCAATTTCACATCGGCTGTCAATAGACTATCGAGTGAAACGTCTGTTTTTTTTTTCTGCTTTTCCACATTCTTCTTGGGTGGTAGAACAGTGTTTCGAAGGTTCTGTTGCTCAGGTGATCAGGCAACTTGTGTGCAGATAACCTTTACTCATACGACTCACTACGAATACCTACTCATATTGGTGCTGTGCATCCATATGAGTAGGTATTCACGCTAATTGTTTTAGGAGTCTGAGTCGGAATCTGGTGATAAAAAATTCCTCGATAGGCTATATTCATATCGTGACACTTTTGATCTCCATGTGCCTAAGGTACGTTTGTTTTGTTTTCATATGGGTTCAGTTTTTTTTCTTTCTTTTTTTTGTACTTTAAGTTTTTATGTGTCAACGTTTACGTTTATGTGATCGTTTGGAGACTTTTGGGAAGTTTGGTTATTCGTTATAGTTCGCAAATTCATTATCAATTAGTATTGCGCGCTACATGTAGATAAAGGTGTGAAATACAGATAAATCGCGCTTTACGGTGCGCCCTCACATTCAGAATCTCCGCTGATTTTGAATGTGCCTTTGACCTACATTTTTCATAACTCTGGGGGTCAGCGGTATGCACATGTCTAGCACTTATATTCAACTGCGATGAATGTGCGTCTTCATAGGCTGACCAGGTTTTATGTTCGGTTTTTTTCTGCGAGATCCTCACTAAATACCACAGAGGGCTACATCGGCTGGCCCTTGCAAACCCTAGTTTTTTTATGTTTGCGTTTTCTGGGGTTGTACCTACATCTTCCTTCCTATCTAGAAATAGCTTATTCTGCCTGGCGTAGTTTTTGAACATTGGGATGATTCATTGTGAAAAGATTGGCATCATTTTAGACAATGACGAAGAGCTACTTTTTCAAAACTTGGTTACACAACATTTACCTAACTTGCGTGAGATAACGTAAAGAGTTGGGGTTTTTAATTTCACGAGGCGAAGAACTTTAATTCTGTAAATATATTGGCCAGTGAATGAAGAGTAGTCCGCAGTTTTCAGGTAGGCTATGAACTTTGTGCGCAGATGTTGTCACAGCAGCCGGGTGCGCAACTTTGTCGTGCTGGTACAGCTTGCGATCTCGTGATTTCCTTAAGGTACTGATTTGCAATTTTTTAATATAATCGATGGGACAGATGTCTCTCTTTTTACTTCTTCATTCTATAAATCGTAACTGTCTTTGTAAAATGTAGTATTTTTTGGTAAAACTGCTAATGCTTTGTTATCTTGCTTCTAATTATGCGTTTTTTTTCTTTTGTCGTCCTCGTACGACCAAGGTGCGTATTTTATTATAGATCTATGGTGCCATGCGTAGAAATTCTCTATATTGTTCTTGATGCAGACGAGAAGTTGTGGAAAGTGACGGAGAGAGCAAAAGGTAATGAGTTAATTCATTAATGAGTTTTGAAGCTGAAAGCTGGTAGTTCAACTAGTAGAGCCGCTTACACAGCTTAGCAATATTTGACGGCTTTTATAAGGCTCCAAACGTATAATCGCCTTTGTGAAGCATTGCCAAAATGGTTCAGCACACTCTGCTGTGATGCAAAACGTAAGTGTAGAGTGTGCTGCTACGACTTGAGGTGCACGATGAGGGAGCTAATGAGAAGTGAATTTCCAGAACTCGTTTTTTTTGAGAACTCAAACATCGCGTTTGCTGACAGTTACGGATGTAAGAATTGGTTTTCAAGAAATTTGTGATCTTTTGAAGGCGTCAAAGTCACATGTGCGTGAAATGTTTATCACCGGGCCAATTTTTTGGAGAATTGTCTTTCAAAAGTTCTACTTCGTTCTAAGGGGCAGGTTATTTTACTGGAAACTTTTCACAGCGTAGGTATTGATTTCTCGTCAGTTAAAGCAGATTTCAGATCTGTCGGAAATTTCTCAAACTGTGAAGTTTAAGGGGCACTGATGCCCTTTTGAGCACATTAATTATATGCCTCTTCCTCTCTCACCGTCTGAAAGATCTGTAAGGTGCCTCATCGTCAGTTTGGTTCAAATATACGACCATTTTGCGTTTTTTCGGAATATCTTTTCGGTGGCCTTGACTTTCTGTCCTAGGAGCGAGTGGTAAGAGGTGTTGTACGGAAAGCGTACTTCGGTCGGGGGGGGGGGGCTGAAAATTTGATAAACAAAAACTCGAAAAAATTTAAGTGGAAAGGAGGATGAGGATCAATAACTGCTGATACTTCGGCACAACCTGCTATGTATTCAATCACATTAGAGAAGTTGACTTTTTTAGTGATTCATGTGAAAGAATCTGGTCTTGGTCAGATCGCCTTCAGTGTTGTACCATGTGCAGCCGGTTTCCTGCCGTATCCATCAATATCGGTATACAGTTGTAATACCATCGGGGTGAGTCAGTAATGATTCAACAAATTTCATCCCATCGAATATTACTCGTTCTCATATTTCTAGTTTTTTTTTCTTCTTTTTGTGCAGTTTTTCTTAGTCCTTTATTTGCTGGTGCAGTACTTATGTTGGTGACAGCCTGAGTTCAGAACTGGAGGGTTTTTGATTATTCCTTGGCTTTTTGCAGATATGACTGCATTTTTTTTCTTAGTTGACTCATTTATTCCAACTCAATGGTGTACTCAAAAGGAATCTTTGTGGTGGAATAGCTCTTCCGTGTCAGCTCATGATAGTATGAAGCTAGTATGGAGCTTTTGTCAATGGGTTTTCTACATGAATCTGTCGATGAACATAGCTCGAGTGCCTCTTTGGCCAAATTTGTCTTTCCACGGTAGCCTGCTTGTTTTGGTTTTTGCGGTTGAATTTCTAGCAATGAAAAACTGGATTGATTGAAGTGACCATTCCTAATTCTGCTACTGTACTGCATTGAGGTATACGTCCATTCCTTCTACTACCCTTCTTTGAATCTGTAGTCATCTCTGGGATCATATTTTTACAGGTTTATGGATCTAGTGAAAACACTCATCGGTGAATTTTTTGAGTGAGGTAGAATCAGGTTTCAATACAAGTCTTGCTTATTTGAGCTGTTCGCAAATCTTCTTTCCATTATCCTCAACAAGTCATTGTCAAGATTATTTAGACGGCATAAAGGTCGTCATTCGCTTCCTGTGCAGTATTTAGTCTAGGGTTTTCGTAGGGGGACAAAAGTGTTGGCATCGTTTGTCTATAAAGTTGTCTTCAAAACTATTCCAATCCACGATTGCCTAGATGAGTAGTACAGCGCGTGAAAAGTAAAGCGCATGATGTAACTATGGTCATGAAGAGAGAAGCAGGTTCACTACTGAAAATGTTGCAAGTCATGCGTCAGCAGTGGTCGGTCCCTCTTGTTTACCGTATTTTATCGTTTAAAGAGGAGTGGCCGATTAATGGGAAGGCCGCAATTTTCGCACGTATCACTGTGTAATTGGGTTGGTTTGAGGCTTCCGATTGTTTAGGTGGGATGAATCACCGCCCATTCGCAATATGAAAAAGGCTAAATGATTTATGGGAGGTTAGAAGCAAGGACTACTGTAACACACATCACTAATGGTGTAGTGGCAAGCAGGGTGAATATTGCTTGAGGATTCCTCAACGGCACGTCGAGGATTTTCGCCTGATCCTTTACGTTCTCGCGCGCGGATATTCACTCTCGCCACCCGCGAGCCGTCTGTGCTCTCCGCGCGTACATTCACTCTCGGCACTACTCTCGCACAGCAGAGAGCGATGGTCGAGGAATTCCTCGACCGTTATTCACCCTGTGGCAAGTAGCACAGCTCAGTTCGTTCCCATTTGGGGAAAAGTTCGCGATGCGATTGGTACTGCAAAGATGTTGAGTCCAA